CCCACGAACTTACATTGGTGTCTCATTCGTTATCGGCCCCATTTTTAAAAGCACACTTATGCTTTATTGCACACTTTTCATAATTTGGATTTCTGGAAAGTTCATCATGGAAGTTTGAAGGAAGTATTTGGACGTGGAGCCTAGAAATGGATGTGAATGAAATGATTAATTTTGTCTGACGTCTTCTAATAGATCTGGGATTTCCTTTACAGCATCTGTCAAAGTGTCAGTACTAAGTTACAAATATGAAACTGTCTAAATTAAATCTGGTTCAAAAATCTCAACCACATTTATAGGAACGGACAGTACTGTGGTAATGTTAGCGGCCTCTCAGCTGCGCCACGTCCTAGAACATAGAGTAATGCTAGGCACCTCAAACATCGGCTTTGAAGGAGTCTAGAGCTGGATAATAGTGGTGTTCGTGGGGACCAGCAGAAAGCTGCTTCCAATTGTTTAGCGATCGTTGACAAAAGCATATTGAAATTTGAAGTGTTGATATAAGCTTTGAGTACTCTTGGGTCATCAGAACGATGGAATTTGTAGTCGCTAAGGTGGAATAGCTAGCCAGTAATAAGGACAAACATTAATATAATTTTACATTATTCCGCCATTAACTTCAAGATCTTTGTCCATACTGTCATAAATGGAAGGCATCGCTGAGTCCTTGATATTACTGGGGGAAGGAGTTATTAATTCTTCCTTAGCAATGCCTTGGAAGTGGTAGCTCATATGTTTCAGCGGATAACAGCTAGAAGGTAATACAGACTGAAGGAGGGGGAGAAGAGCGGGACGGTTAATACATCGTCTGAATAAAGGTGGCAAACGTGGACTTGACAGTCGTCTGCATTGTCTGAAAGTCGACTGCTGCATCGACCCCCAAGTACTGTGGGAAAATGTGAGAAGGCATGACACGGTTCCCACTGTTTTACGACCCCAAGGACTCCGGCAGACGGTGGGAATTTTGCACATAGAAACACAGGGACTTTATCCTATTTCAGAAGTATTCTGTTTACTCAATCAATAAAGGCGATGCTCCGATGGGAACAAACTTGAAGGATATTTCCACCGCAATCATTTTTGTGAGCCATTTCTTGGCTTTTCTTGGAGTTGGATTGATGACAGAAGAGGAGGTTAGAATTTTCTGGAGTGTAAAAACCTGAATATCAAATTATTATCCGAATTTATGCAATTTAGCCCAAACTCAATGACCTATATCTTGACAACGACTCTCACCAATCCTGCCTTCTCCAACAACCCTTGGAAAATTTTCGTAGATACAAAGTATTAATGCGTTGTGCAATCGAGAACGAGGGTTGTAATGTTGACAAAGCACCTGTCTTCTCTCAAGCTGTAAAAGTCGGAGGAAGATTGCAAAACGATGGATCTAGAATAGACGTACACATTAACTTACACACACACACGCATACACGTAGAGGCAGAAGTGCGGCTATTGAAGGGTCGGGAATACGTTATTAGTGGATAGGAAAAACACACACACACACACACATTACCATTCACGCCGTGTGCTTATACACAACCGCGCACACGTTCACACCCAGAGGGAGCCGTACTTTATTAGGCAACTTGAGGCTAGTTAATGCGTAAGCGTCGACTAGCATAAGAGTGAGAATGGGGGAGGCTCCATTTTCCATTCCACGCACACACACACCAAACAGTGGAGTAGACGTGTTCTAGATAATGGAGCAATTGTGCAATGTGGTTCACCAACCATACGACTACTTATGCGACTACAGCTATTAATACCGCCTAACAAATCGCCAAGCAGACAGCCTTGCCAATAGTTTCATTCATAGTGGGACGCACACGCCTTCTACCACTGGTGCTGCTGGGACTCAGAGGGGACGAGGTTGGGGCAAATTTTTGCGTGCCATACTATACGTGGCAGCAAGTAGTGACTGTGACCTACTGCCAGTGGGCCACTCCAGACACTATAACTCAAGGTGACAGACAAGAATGAGGTGAAGAAAGAAGTTTATGGAAAGTAAAGGCGTAAAATCCCCATATCCCTATTCCTAGCTGTGTTAGTCTCCACCTCACAGCGTATCAGTCATTCCTATGAACATTCAACAAGGGGAATGCTGGCCTAATCCTGGACGTCTGATCAACGCAAAAACAATCTGCCGCAAAATTGTGCAAGAGACAAAGTCATCTGTTGAAACAGGGAACACAAGCATTTTTGAAGGCTTGTAAGTTCCGGAAGTTGGCTCACGCTAAATACCAAGAAAATTTCCAGTCTTTGATTAGCACTGATGGAAGACTGCGGTAGGCTGATCCCGCCATACTCGTGAATATTTTACAACCGAAGCTTTCACGTTTTAGTTAATCGTTAATACATGCGCATATATGTAGTAGAGGACCGCAGAGGAAAACATGTTGTGCCTACCCCACGACGGGTATTCTGTTTAACCTTTAGAGTTATCATTTCTTTCTGTTGTCCTTTAAAAATGATGGAAAAGTGATGAGTTCTGATGCTTACTGGTTGGAAAGACGGTGACATTGATATAGCTATTACTATTCAAAGGCGAAAATTCACTAGCAAATCCCCCGTTTTTAATCTGTTTTAAGCTTTGGTGTGGAGAATCTAACGCTGACAACACTATGTAAGTCAACTAGGCATTTCGTCCAGTATCCATTACGCAACATTACCATAAACGCGGCGTCATCGTCATCATCATATTCAGTCCAGCCAACACCTCTGACAGCTCGGGCACTCCTCGTGCCTTCTTTACATTGGAGTGCCAGCCGTTTAATTTAAAAAATTCCATTATCATAAAACCAGATATTTTCATTCTTTAATTCTTTTTACTTTGCTAATATCAAGCGAAAAGCAATGACTTCAAAATTGACGTGGTTACTTATCGACGCAGACGATGAGATTGCAGCAAAGGCGGCAAGTACTGTCAAAACTGAAAACTGGAGTAATGGCAAGTCAACATGATATTCACTTCGCATTCAAATCGGAGACAAAAAGGACTCTCCATCAATCTACCACAAAATTAGGGGAAACAAAATCGGCTCAAGTGGCCACAATTGCCACCACTTTCCCTCTCCAACACAATTGATGCAGTGCGTAGGATTTTCTCTCTGCCTGTCTGTCCTGATTTAGATACGCGACAACAGTCGTTAAAGAAGGCTTTCAAGTAAGGTAAGATTGGTGTTGTTGAGATTTTTGCAAGCCAGTGCATGCTTAGTGAAGGAAGGCCCGATGTGTTAGTACGTGCCGCCTACGCGATTCAAAAGCGAAATCCTTTTGACATTTGTTGAAGAAAGGGTAAGTGCCTCTCAATGAGGTATCGCCATAAAATTAACAGACTAAAGGAATTGCTTTTAAATGGAAGAGCATGTCATGAACAACTCCGACGATATAACAGCCTTTGATAAATTTCAAATTTTTCATAATCCTATTTTATGCGATATTAATTTCGTAGG